ATTGCCTCTCATTGGATGACTTGAAGGAGCAAGATAAGGAGCCATCAAACAGTGGTTGCTTCTGAGAGGAACAGGCTGTTCTTCTACTTGCTCATTAACTGTACATTCTCTCAATGAGTAGTAGGGTTGACTGGCGATTTGGGACCAATTAAGGCCACTTAACTCTCTTGTGGCAGATGGCAAATGAGTCACCTGTGGGCTCCTCTTCAGCTTTCATTACCTGTGGCACAACATGCCCAGGAACCATTTTTGTATGACACTGCATACTCTTAACTCCAGCCCACAGCTTGGGGCGGGGGGCGGGGGGGGGGAAGAGAAAATATAACAATCAAAATATTAACAAATAATAATAATGTCCTTTTTATTTTCTTTCTTTCTAGGATTTATTTATCATCTCAGTCCAATTTGAACTCTAGGCAAGATATATAATCCAGTAATCAGAACACTATAATAAAAATTAATGATAATAATACAACACAGAGAAGTCCCCTGGATTGGACACGTCTGTCAAAAAGAAGAAAGTACAAAAGGAAGAATAGTAAGCAAAATAATTTATTTGCTTCTTTATTTGCCCATCCTTGATGGTGCCAATAGGAGCTGAGATCTGTCCAACTCCTATTGGCCAATTTAAGCTGTTGTGGGCACATCCCTTCCCTTTCCCTTTGGCACTTTGGCGTGGTTTGGGGGAGAAACTAGATGCCTAGTTTCCAAAGATTTTACCCACATAATGCTGACCTGTGCTTTCCAAACAGATATCAATCTTATGCAAGGTCCTTATCTAAAAAAAACCTACACTTCTGTTCAGCACTGACCTGACTGGTAATCATAGGTGCAGATCACCTCCCATAGCTGTGATCTTTAGCAACTTGGCAGACAGTTAAATGCACCACTTCAATCCACCTATATTCCAATAGCTCTGCCCCACCATACATTAAGGAGAGCAACCAATGGTTGTTTTTTTCCCACTTGCAGATAAGTCTTGGTTAGATGGGAAACATGGCCAGGAGAATGACTCATCATTTCCCTTAATACGTTCCACAGAGTACCATGGGCTGACTTCATTACAAAGTAGTACAGGCTTAACCATTAGGGCATCACAATTATTCCAAGCATCAAGGATATATAGATTGTACTTAATTCAGTTTCCTGATTTTTATCCCATGAAGGGTCTTCTCCACAGCTCAGTTACAATACCAAGAGTTGCAACTTTTATGCAGAAAATTAAACTGGCACAGATTTTGCTGTCCCCATTGCCAATTCTGAAAGGATCTATTCTGGTTTGGTTCTGGACGCTGATGTACTCATTCCTCCTGCAGAGGAGACTGCTGTCCCCTCTCCACAGGGTTTCTTTTCAACATGCCCCATGACTAGAGATCAACTGCTGAAGCTGGGAAATGTAGCAGGAGAAGGAGGAGAGGAGACTTTGGGCCAAGCTACCTCTGGCCCAAAGACCCAGATCAAGTCAAATTTGCAGCTGATCACTGGTGGCAGCAGAACTGCACAGTGGAATTGAGTATTGAGTGGAATTGAGTATATGATCTCTCCTTCCCTCCCTCCCTGGTATTTCATGGCATAACCCCTCACCAGCTGTCAGGGATTTAACACTAACTCCACAGATGTTGATACAACTGGGTATCAACGTGGATGGGGCGTGTGCAAGCAGAGTGAATGTGCGTGCACACACTCATATTTGTGAACCAGTAGGGAAGGGAAGGGTGTACCATTCCTGCCTTGAATGGTAGTGCCCGAAGACCAGAGCTAAATGTAGCTAATGGGTGCTGGACGGGTCTCATTGCCTTGTATCACCTGAAGCACCATTAACAAAACAACTGATGAGTCTAACCTCCTCAGACTATACTTACAGCAAAACTGCCACAGCCTGTCAGATGCTTTAGGAAGAAATCACTAATACAGAGTAATCATGAGTGACAACAAACTAGGGAAAGACCTTACACCATTCCCTACACCAAAGATAGGTCTTCTTTTAGAGGCTTGCATGGCACATTGAACGGTTCTTAAGAAGCTGAGCACTAGATGAAGCAATACAATTATACATAAATAGGGAAGTCGATGGCACACATGTAGATGGGGTTAGGGTTTTTTCCTTAATTTTTTTTGAGGGGGAGTATTTATGTGTCACTTTATATTAGAAAATTATTTCAGTCTTGGAAGGTTTGCATTTATTTTTGCACCTTTTCCATTTTAAAACATGGGAAATTCATATCCAAACTATTACCATAATTAAAATTGCTCTGTTTCATTGAAATAATGTAACCTTCAGTATCTAATGTCCTCAATTAAGTGTTGGCTACATCTTCTGGAAACTAGAAATATAGTTAGTCATAACAAAACTGGGGAGCAGGTTAGGAAAGACTAAGGCAAAATATAATTTAGGAATTGGGAAAATGAAAGCAAACATCCCAATAAATATGGGAGATGCATTTGTTATCCTACCCGAATTACCGTTACACAGTACACACCCATACCTACACCCAATGCCCTTCATTGTCTAAATGTATTTGTTGTAAACAGACTTAGCCATTTTAAAGTACAGGGAAGTACAGAAATGTTTTAGTCATACAAAGAAGCTGGCATAATTTGGCATCTTAACTTGCATATTGAAAACCTACAAATACGTATTTCTGTGCAGTGTTACTGCATTGTCCAGTTCATGTTTACCCAAAATCAAGAAAGCTATCTAAGAATTGAAAGATACAGATGACAATTGTGTTTGCAAAACAAAATTTGAACCTGCATTTGTGTGTATTCTAAGGAGACCAATTGTTCTGGCTCACCCAAACCTTTTTTGGGGGGTGGGGGGGATAGCTGAATTGCTACCCAACTCTTTGCCATTTATCATTTCTAATGCTATAATTTGTGCTTCAAAATATGTGAGCGAGCACCCAGTCAGCATTACAATTTTTTTTTAAAGGCTTAAGCCTGTAATTATTTTTAATTTGGCATATGCTTTATGAATATGAAACTATGGGTATACCTTATGAAGTTACATGTATACAATCAGCCAACAAAACTCTGAAGTTTATTGCTTTCTATATAATTTCTGCTTTGAATAGGATTGCATATGTGATCTGTGTTTCTTCTTTGCCCCACTGGGCAAAAGTGAACCAAGCAACAGTCTGAATGTCTGTCATTACTGAGAAACAAATAAGTAAATACTGTGCATATTTTCCATGGGACAGGGTGAGGGGTGGGGGTGGAATGTTGCTTGAGAAAGACTTGAAGAGGATCCAGAATGAAATCTATGACGCTCTGGGGCAGTGTTCCCAAGACAGATCATATGTAGCTATCTTAAGTTGAGCTATTGCTCACTCTAGCCAAAACCTCTATATTCTGATTAGTAGTGGCTCTCCTGGATCTCAAAGGAGATTCAATTTCGGAATTGAAACTGAGACTCCCTTTACAATGGGGATATAATGAATTAGACCCCTACTTATGAAATGATTAATATATCAGAAATACTGAGACCAAGTCTCCTTTAGCATACAGAAAATTGGATTAAAAACCACAGGTTCAAGAGGCCCTTCCAGCCAGCACAAAAGCACATCATTCAGGCTTTGGGTCCATCTGTTAGGAGTGTTACCTGCCTTGACAACACAATAAAGTGAGTTACAAACCTAAGAAATAACCAAAGATCCCGTTTTAGATATGTTAAGTTTTATGCCAGAAATTCACTTCTTGTGCTAGAATTTTAAAGGAGCTATCTCAGGATAAAATCATTCTTCTCAGCACAAAAAAAAAACTTTTCCATTGTACTGCTCAAATAGCTACAGTAACTCTATACATTTGGACATTAGACATGGGAGTTTCCTGCCCCAAATACATATTTATCAAACATATTTCTATTCAAAATTGCATACTTTGAAGTTGGTTGTTTTTCCCCCCAGTGGAATGATAATGATACCTATTTGTCATATTAATATATAGGTGAAACAAATATTGCAATTGTATACATGTCTCCTTTTTTCAAAGTACTGCCACCCAAATGAACCTGGGATTACAGCTAAAAGTAATAATGGCTGGAATGACCAAGAGATAACAATCCATTTCTATATATGCTGGGAGATCTGTTCTTATATAAACACCCCACTTCAGGAAATTAGAAATTTATGGCTTTTTTTAATGGTGAAATACAAAAAAGCCCCTATATTGCCAACAAAGAAAAAAGATAAACCATGTTTATACAGAGAAGGAGGGGAGCCTAAGTTTATTACAGTGGCTGTCGCTCAACCCTAGGAAGAAAGCAGTGCAACCCACTTCCAAAAATGTTGCCAAGAAATCTGCATGTGACAGAAAGCAAGTTCGAAATTAAGGTAGCATATCCAAAACTAATGAGGAATGCTGGAATCAAAAATCAATTAATTAATTATAAATGCTATTTTATTAAGCTCTTCTATAATATTCCAGAAAGAATGGGTCATAAACACAAAGAAAGAAAATATTCCCCTAAGAGCTCTAGGGCAATAGATTTTATCTGACATTTCAACTGACAGCCCAGTAGGTCTATTTACAACATCACTCAAACCCCATATTTACTGCAATAACTATGAGGTCTTATCCAAAGAAACTTTACTGATATACAGAAAACTTATTGGCACAATTAAGCTTATTTGCTGGGGACTATAGTTTCTTTGTAATTTTCAGTGAAGTACTGACACAAAATTTTGAGCACTTGTGCTACTGCTAGATTTTCTTCTCAAGCTTTGGAGTTGGAGAAAGAGGAAAACTTAACACACAAACAGCTCACATCATAAACTTCTACAGCCAGGGAGACCTTTAAATAAATAGATCTGTTTATGTCATTCTCAAGCTGTGGAAAAAAACATCTCAAGCTTGGCAAACTGTCTTTTTTCTAGTATTATTCTCAAACGTATAATGTGCCCCTCTTTTGCACATTGATTTTATGATTAGGTATAGTATTCCTGTATTATTTACCCATATACATGCACACAGAGATGAAATATATAAATACCAGTACATACCTGAGTGCCTTGGAATGAACTGTGCTTGACTTTGTAATCATTGATGAACATTAAGTAAATGTTGAGCAAGGTTTCACTTCCAGCATTTTTGTTGTGGCTGTTTTGTTATCTTCCCTTAATTTCACCAATGCAACAGCTGTATTCGGGAGCAACTCCTTCAATATATCACAGGGCAACCAAGAACCCAAATGCCCGTCTTTATGAAGCAATATCTTGCCAGCTTTGGAGCACAAGATCACACATGTATGCTCAGTGTTTTCTTTCTCTGGGAAAAGCGAGAGCTCTCGGTTTAAGTTCCTCCTCCTTCCTGACATAACAAATTTCAGAAGCTTGTTAGTCACTGCCTGTTCCAGCGCTCACACTAGTAAGCATTTGTTGCAAACTAATGTATTCTCGTCAGAGAAGAGGATTATCTATTAACTGACAACAAAGACCTAATTATCGTAGGATGCATTTGAATCACACTTTCCTACTGTCTCCGTTTACATAGGTAGATACCTGCTCTTGATAAAACCCTCTCTGTCCCTTTATTTGCAGTATAGAGAGAAACTGAAAGGGAGCTTAGATTTTAGATATTATTGTGTGTACACAGATTGTAGTGGAATTCTTCTAGTTTGAGCTCCCCTGGGAGTTTACATCTTGGAAATGGAATTGGGATTATCTCAGTTGAGATGCCTCTGACAATGCCAGATGGGCAAAACATGGAGCATATGACTTGTGCTGTCTTCTTCTCCATTGATTGTTGGGAAGTGTGCTTGAGCTGCACCTATTATATGCCTTAAAAACAACTACAGCTATTCCCCCTTCCAGTAAACTGGACTTGTTTTAAGAAAAAAAAATATTTTTCTCTTTCTTTTTGTAAGGAAGACCTGTCTTTCTATATCACCGGTTTTGTAGAGGTTCATCTGGACATTTGTATTAAAGCAACTCTATTGGGAAAATTGGTAAGATTAGTGATATTATATGATAGTTCACGTGGGGGGAAAGAGCTTGTTGGAGTCATTTTATTACATCATAGTGTGAAAAAGCAAATATGTTTGTTGTTTTTATATTCTACCCTTTTGTAATAAATAGCATAGACAGGCATGATGTAAAGAGAAGAAAATGCCTTATTATAATTGCATATAGTAGTTAAATACCTTAATATAGTAGTCTATATAGTAAGTAGAGAAAAAGTAGAGTGATGTGTAATTAAAGGATAGAGCACTAAAACAGTAATATTCAGGTAAGGATTAAAGAGTCATAAATATATCAGAGGTATTTCCCTGGACTCGACGATATGGCAATGCCTGTTATATGACACTTTTGTCCGTTGTGCTTCCCTGATACAAATTCAATTGCAATGGCTAACATCCTTAAAATGGCTAAGATCCATTTTAAGATCCTATAATGTTACAAATCCAAAATAGAAAGCAAAATGAAAAGAATAAGAATAAATTATTTTTTAAAAACCCAAAAAGTAAATGTATAAAATATAAATTTATACAAATGAGGTTTCAATTATTCTCCCTTTTTTACTTGGACCTGCCATATTTTAATGGATTGTGTAGATAGACCTCCTAACCAGATTGAGTGGACTGTGCATCTCCAAAAAGCCAAAAGAAGAGTACGTTTTTTTAAATGCTCCTATATATAAAATTGTGAGAGTATCCCCTGCAAGTTATATATATATAACTTATAGGAAATTTCATTCACGTTTAGTTGAATCCAGTGGACTATTCTGCTTTTTGCTTTTAAAATTTTAGGCAGCAGCAAGCACAGGGAATATTGATAAGCAGATTCATCCCAGAGGAGAAATACCAAAAGAAGAAAACAGGAATCCTTCAAAAGTAGGAACTGCCATCTATAGGCAGATCCTGGACAGTCCACATTACCATTTCATTATTTTGCTATCAATGTATTCTTCTACATATATAAACCTACTGGGTTTATCTACGGTAATTGGTACTACCCTTGTATTTATTGGTGTAATTTCTAATCTTAAACAACATTAGAATTGTTAAATTTAAATAAATGCAGAATTCATTGGGCTTTATAACACTCTTTTTTGGTATCATCCTTTGCTAGTTTATAAGCTATATCCAAAAGCACACTGTGTATATGTTCTACACAAAACTCAGGCCAGTTATTTTTACACTATGGGGTTATGCCCAATCAATTCAAATCATTAAGAGAAAATTAAGGAAGACTTAATTTTTTTCTCTAAGTCAACTCTAAACAGGTGACGTTCAAATTTAGTGGATCTCTTCCCACCCTCAACTTTCTAATGCAGAGTAATGTCTTTTTTTTGTGACTCTACCCATGTTCTCACAATTCTTCTTACGTAATCTGACAGTTTCATCACAGTGAATTTCAGCTAACAGACATGCTGCCTGAAACCCTACATTTACTGCCTCTATGAGAAACCACCTACTTTCTGTCCATTTAATTTTCAAAAAGGCCATGTATGGGTCCTCTTATTTAATTAAACATTTGAACTCTGTTTTTTTTTCTGTCTTACTGAGAAAACTGGGCTGGGTAGCGACGCCCTGAAAGTCACGAAAACCCATTAAAAATCTGAAGAAAGCAAGCAAAACTTACATGCAGAATCAATCACAAATCAAAATAGACAAGCAGCAACAACATGCATTGTCAGCCACTAATAAAGAATTCAAACCAGTTGATGTCTTTAGTCATTTTGTTCACTGAAATGGTGAGACACATAGCAAGTCATCAGCCAATTATCTTCCTTTAGTTCCTTTCTAATATGTGCAACTAAAGCTTAGTGTGCTAACTTCCCCGTGCATGGTTGCAGATACAATAGGTTCATCATCCATTCTCCCTCAAACACACTGTTCAGTGAGCTAGTTGTTCTCCAAAAGAGGAGTCATCTAAATTATTGAGATTAATGACCTATATAGCTTCAGAGTTCTTTCTAGGAACTTTCAAATTACTTATTTCATTTTTGCCATTATTTAACTGGGAGTGATATATCTCAGTGAGGGCTAACCTTTTCTGGACCGAGTGCCCAAAGCATATGTGTGCCTCCGAACTCCCAAAATGCAATGCACATGTTGCCCCCCACATGCGTCCTGCCCCCTGTGCATGTGCATATGACCCCCCCACATGGCCCAACCCCCCGCATGCACACACCCTGCACATGCCCCACCCCCGTGCATGCGCACCCCCGCATGTGTCCCGCCCCATGCATTTGGGCGCACCCCCTCCTACACACGCTCTGACCACAGCACATGTGCTGCAGAGATCTGAAGACCAGCTGGCCAGCGGCATGCACACATGCACAGCAGAGCTGAACTGGGGCGATTGTTCGTGTGCCCACAGAGAGGGCGCTGCATGCCATTTCTGGCACGCGTGCCATAGGTTCGCCATCACGGATATATCTGTTCTATTTAAGCACAAGCCTTCAAACCAGAGATCTTATCTATATCCTTTGACTCTAGCTATGCCCCAGGCTCCACTGGTTTCTCCCTACCAGTAAAAGACCAGTATTCTTAATCTGAGTTTTATACTGGGATTGAAGGGACCCCCTATGTTTTTGCCTTCAAAGGTCCTGGAGGTTATCAATCTAAACAGAAAACTGCATAAATCTTACACCATCACCATAAAACTTTCTACACTGATGTCCAAATGAAAGATACTGTATAAGCATAAGAACTACCGACATATGGAGGAGTTTGTTTCTTTCCTTTTCAACTCTTCAAAAACAGAAAGTTTCTTTCTGTCTAGACTGGGGAATGCTTCAAGACAAGACCTCTAAATAATAATAATAAATATATATATATGCATGAACATACATTTGTGTTAGTTTAAAAGGCATTAACTCACCAAAAACAACTACGAGAAATAAGATAATTAAGCCTTCTGAATCATGTTGCATACAAAATCAATATTAATCCAGAATCTGTAAGACAAGGGTATTGCTTAAAATACAGAAAATAAATGCTACGTTGCCACTGTACAGACACGAGGACAAAGCATTTGAAAGAAAAATCATAATCATCTCCTACTGTGCACACTTTTTTCATTCATCTGACCTAATATCATGCAGCTTTTCAAAGCTCAGCACTGTCTGCCACTGATAAATCTACAATCCCCTCAGCAGCAATTTAGTGGAGCTCAGAAATTGTAAAAATAATAAGAATAATAAAGAAAATAATAGTGGCCTGATAAGAACAAATTAGACTCTCTCAGATAAAACTCATTCAAAAAGGAAGAGCATCTTTGGGTTTAGCAATAATCATTGCCGGGATTAATATCAGCCTGAAGGCACCTGTCCTCTCTCAAGCCATCCCCTGGCCTTTCTCAGGAACTAGTACAAGCTTAGATGAAACCTGGTTCCAAAAGAGTAACAGTGAGAGAGACCTTGGAGTCCTAGTGAACAATTGCTTAAACGTGAACCAGGTGTGTGCAGCAGCAGCAGCCAAAAAAAGGATAATACAATCCTTGGTTGCATAAACAGAGGCATGGAATCAAAATCATTAGTACCATTTTATAAAGCTTTAGTAAGACCACATCTGGAATACTGCATCCAGTTTTGGTCACCACCAGAGGTGGGTTCCTACCAGTTCGCACCTATTCGGTTCGTCAAATCTACCGAATCGGTTAGAAGAGGTTCCACCAGTGGACCCGGAAAGAAGGCCACACCTACAGAAGAGGTTCCAAAAATTTTTGAAACCCTCCACTGGTCACCACATTACAAAATTGAGACTTTGGAAAAAGGCCAAAGAAGAGCAACTAAGATGATTCTCTGTAGCTGCTCCGACCCTATGGAACGATCTACCCCCAGAGATCCGGATTCTTCCCACTCTCACGGCCTTCTGAAAGGCTACCAAAACCTGGCAATTCCGGCGGGCCTGGGGCTGTTGACCTCATGAATGAGGTCCAGCCCCGCCTAGATTGAGTGCATGAAGTGATCTTTTAATCTGTTCTTTTAATTCTTTATTTTTTAAAAAATGTATTTCTGTAAGCCGCCCGGAGTCCTTCGGGATTGGGCGGCCTATAAATTTATTAAATACTTAAAAACTTAAATGATTAAGGACCTGGAGGCAAAAATATATGAAGAATGGTTATAGGAATTGAGTAT